TACAAGAAAAGTTCATATTCAATTCAATCCAGAACTGTCTGAACATTTGTTATTGTAACTAAGGTTTACCGCGGTCGATGGATTGAAATCAAAGTTATGAATCCTTTGCACCGATTCAGCTCTACTGAATCAGATCAGCTTGGCCCAAGAACAAGCATCAATGTGACCAAGCAAACACGGACTACACTGAAGAAGCCTACGGAATACTTTGTTGAAATGTCTGCTTGGCGTGCCGACAATCCCAATCAAGAGCCAGATCCAGAGAGTGTGGGTTGGGAAGAAGTAGATGGGAAATGGGTGCAAGGAGTCAACATTTGCACAGGCCGGCGTGGGTACTTCAAGCGAGTCTGTGCAACAGACAAATCAGTGAACCGTGTATCTGAACTTCATAGTGGAGAAATGGAAGTGTCAGAGGAAGCAGTTGACAAGTACGAAGCATACGCTGTCAAACAAACAACATCCAAGTACAAGGCGATCGATGTCAGTGAACTACCAATCTTTCAATTCATGGCACCAAGTGGCTTTTCGCAAAAAGCTTTACCACCTTTGTTTTCGGCTTCATCATCATCAGGAGCAGCATCACATTCGCAAGCTTTGGTGCCATTGCCAGCGCCTACACCCGCTCCACTCAGCGGAGGTGATGCAGAAGTAGATGATGACATCAAACCATCCGAGGTGATGCATGAGCCAGTTCGCCGAGACATGTCATCAGGTTTGCTATTTGCTATGCCAGCAGCGACTGCAAAAGCCAAGTGCCTGGCAGCAACAAAAGCTGGTGCCAAAGCAAGCGCAAAGGCGCATCCGAAAAGTCATGCAAAGGCCAAGGCCAAAGCACAGACAAACAAGAGAAAGAAAGACACAGAACCTGAGATCATCACAATGGAGTCAGTGGAGGAACCTGCTGCCAAGACTCGCAAGACAACAGATGGTGACAATGCAATCCTTACTGAGTTCAACGGCAAATTGAATAGACTCAAGGAGGAAGGATTTGCTATGATCCAAGACAATGATCAAGCTGTCACTGAAGCCCTGAAAAAGGGAAACAAAGAGCTCATGCACTTGAACCAATCCATCAAGACAAAGATCAAGTCATTGGGCAGGCGCAAAGACAATCCTGTGATGCTGAAGGATGGCCTCGACTCATTGGTTGACATCATTTCTGAATTTCAGATTGTCTGCGCTGGGTTGATCCACTTGAATATTGATGATACAGAAGCGCCCAGGTTCCTACAACAGAAGGTCTGTGATGGTTGGAAGATCAGTGAACCACTGATGAAGCGCGCCTTCAAGACAGCATTTATGTCTCATCTGAAGTATTCAGACTGGGAAGCAATGTGCTCATCTACCAGACCAGCATTGATTGAGGAGTTTGGAGATGCTCGCGGAAATGATTTGTTCGAGATGTTTCTGAACGAAGTTGTCCAAAGGCTCCTGCGTTCAATTCCTGCCAACAAGGTGTCTTGATTCCTTGATTAATTTGAATTTTTGAGTTTGTCTTTGCAGTTTGTTTATTTTTTTCAAATAACTAAATATCTTTGATAATTCAATTGGATAATATTGATCATTTGGATTCATATGTTTTCTTATGTCTTATGTTTTCTTAGGTGACTTTGGATGATTCCGCATCAAACACACAGCCACTACGTCAGCTTCTTGATCATTTGCTTCCTCAATCGTTCATTGACTCAAGACCGATTTCATTGACTTTGAAGAAGATTGATATCATCCTCAACCCCACACAACATCTACCAGCAGAAGTCAAGGCGGCTACTGACATGATGCAGGAAACTGCTCAGTCTCAAGTGCATGCAGACAGTGGCTTAGCGGCAGTGTTTTGCAGCATCTCACAAGGAAAACAACTTCGAGCGCAAGCAATTGAGTTTGCTGAATCAACCTCTCAGAAGGTTGAATTTGTGGAGTCTATCAGTGATTCTTTGAAGGATTTGGAGGCATTGTCTTCGGAATTGAACTCCACAGAAACCAAAATGACAGATTGCATCGACAAGTTGTTGGATGTTACCCGCTTGATCAAAACATCACGCTCAAAAGCAGAAAATGACGTTGTCCTCAACTTCTTGGAGAAGTCGGGCGAGCAAGTGATTCCGATTGTGAAGGTGATTTTCAAGGTCTTTGTCAGCAAAGTTGCGCTTCCATGGTTCTCAACATCTTTGGATTTGCACTCAGCGTCTCCAGGGAAGTTTTGCCCAATGCCTGCCCTTCAGATGAAGCAGCTAGCCGAGATGGTTGCTTCCAAGTTGATTCCTGGTTCATCATCACTATCGGGCTCTGCATCGAAACAAATTTCAGTTCTCTGTGAGCTTCAGAAGCAAATGGTGGCTGTGGACAATATAGTGGCCAAACATGCATCTGGAACGCTCAACACAACAGAGATCTTCAATGGTTCAAATGCTTTCAATGCCTTTGTCAAGACCTCTTCCTGGGAATTGATCTTTGGCAACACTTCACTTTTGACGACCTTTGAGAATACTACCAAGATGCTGATGGACCTGAAAGGCGCAAAGGTGAAGAGTGAGCACGACAACTTGCTGCAAGCTCTTGGACGGTTGATGTGTAAGGCAGGTCATTGTGAATCAATCAAAGCAAATATATGTTATTCAAAAATCCTATTATATTTTATTTCAACTGTTGTGAGGTGACAGTTTTGTTTCGAGTTACCGTCATAGTCATAGTCGTCATATGAATCATAGTTATATTATAATAAAATATATTCTCCTTGTCTAACAGGTCAACAATGGTGCTGACATTCAAGAGGCTGACATCAGTTCTGCCGAGACTATTTGCGCAAAGCTCACAGGAATCAGTTCCGATAGTGCCAATCCAAAGGCAATTGCAACATTGAGCTTATCAAAATGGATTCTTCTTGCCTGCATCGTGGCAGCAGCTAGATTGCTAGATCATATCATTGTCACTAGCCTTAGACTTAGATTCATTATCTTCTGAGCCCTCTTAGGCAAATCACATGCAGCTGCATCAGCCATGGACACTACAGAACGATCTATGCTTCGAGGTTTGCTCAAACCATTTTTTGTTCTGCAGCAGCAGCACAGTTCGCAGACGACATCCACAGAGATTGACAAAACAATTGAATTCATTTGCGAAATTCTCTTCGATCAACTTCAATCTTCCAAGGAGTTCACAGAGTCTTTCGAAGCAAAGGATGCTTTCCTTGCTGCATGTGTCAAGCCATTTGTTGATGCAACTCGCGTTCTTGAAGCACGTAAGGGACAATATGATAAAGATGCCAAACCGTTGGCCAATGATCTCGTTGGCTTGCTCAAGGGAATTCCACAACCACAAATGGATTCGCTCAAATCCTTTGTGAATACAGCCAAGAAATCGGAGAAGATCCTATTGCAGAAGACCGACAACGCCAATTCTTTGCTTCAGTCTGTGGCGCTTGATGTGAAAGAGTTTGCTTGCACACCTTCAGATATCTGTCCAATGCAACAGGACCCATTAAACTACAGCGCGCAAGACTTCTAGTTACTAGTAGCTAGTTTTTCTATTTTGTAGTGTTGCTACATATTTAAGAACTTCACCTAATGAGTGCGCATGATTGTTTGCGGTAGGAGCTTACTTCAGCGCAACATGCAGCGCTCACTCATCTTGCAGAGCTTTCGGCTGCTGTTCTGTTGACAACTCCACAGATTATGAAATGGATTGAGTCAGGCAAACAATGAAACAAACTTCAGAAACATACACAAACCATTTGTGCACTTAAACATTTTAGTCTTTCAGTTACTACTGGGCAGGTGGAAAAGCTCAAGGTCGATTCCATGAGCTTGTTTCCCAGATTATGGCATACTCTCGTGAAAAGTCGCTTGAGATCAATGCCGGAATTCAAGCAACTCTCACAAGCCTGATTTAGGCTTTTCAAGGTCCTACTTGGTTCAGCAGTTATCATGCTTGAGTGTTTTGTTATCAGTTTGTATTTGTTTTAGATCAAATCGTTATGCAATTACAATATATTTATTAATATTATATATTATATGTTTTTTGTCAGCTGCTTCATCGTTGTTGGTTGTCAAACGGCTGAGCCCAATCTCAAAGTTTCAAGCACAGTTTGTTTAGATGCTAGATCTGATCTAGTCTGATTTGGTCATTTGGCTTGAGGTCCAGAGTCTATGAAAATCAATTGTTGGATAGACATGGATACCTATCGTGTAACTATAACATATGCTTTATGTGTTCGAACTTTTGTTGTTTCAGTTTCAACATGTTTCAACTATGTAGTCTTTCGTTCTTGTTTTGATTCAGGGGATTTGGACTCAAACAGCGACCTTTGTCATTTGATCTGCTCCATATACCAGGCTTCACTATACGGCCTAGGGGACAAGGGAAGAAAAGAAACTGTGCGCTTGATATCAATGTTCATTTTTTTTTGCAAGCATATCAGCTGGCTTGCAGATGTAGTTGTGCAGTTGGTACACCATATCAGTTTCTTTTTTTGGGATGCAGGCCCAAGTGCAGGTGATAGACAGACGGACCACAAACGTGGGATCATGGCGCGAACAAAGTCGCAAGCTGTGGCAGCAAAGCCATCAGCCAAAGGAAAAGCAAAAGCTGTTGCCAAACCATCGCCAAAGGTAAAGACGGCTGCAAAATCAAAGGCAGCAGCAGCAAGATCAACAGACCTTTCACCATGTTCTGTGCCTAAGAAACGGGCCAGAAAAATGACAGATGACAATCCATTCGAACGATCTCCGCCACCAAATCAGCAGACAGTTACGAGCTTCTTCCAATCACAACAGCAAGCATCATCTCAGGCATCTCAGCCTCAATCATCAGGGGTGAACCCAAAGTCTTCCTCATCGCCAGAACCAGTGGAAAGCTCAGTGCCAGCAACATCGGTTGAACACACGCAAGCCACTGCACCTGAGACGATGCCATCCACTTCAAGACCTTCAGCATCATCCACTGGTGAGTTACCATCTCCAGCTGCTCAGAGAATTGACCAAGATGAGCTTCTTGCTATCAAGAAACACGAGCGCTTCAGAGCCTTTTGTGGGACATGGAAAACAATGAAGCTTATTTTCCATTCGAAGATCCAGCGACCTACCACTTCGACAAGACCAAATTCAATGAATGGTTGGAGGCAGACCTCAAACATACCAAAGAGCTTGAGACTCAGGTCATCCAGATCAAACAACACGAACTGTTCGCTACGTTTATAGAGGAAACAAGCCAAGAATTTTTTGGTGATGATGAGTGGCTCTTTGGTGATACAGTTCATAGCGATATTGAGGCTGATGTCCAACTTTGGAATGACTGGATTGCTAAAAGGCAAACCAAAGAAGATGCTACTGAACACACAGGCAATCCAGCCGAACCACGTGCAGCTGAATATACACCAGCAGCTGTCGAACCACATACATCAGCTGAAGCAACCTTAGCAGTTGAGGCAATGCCAGCACCTCAAGCAAACACAGCTCACGCAGATTCAGCTGAAGTTACGGCTACAGCTGTTGAATCACATCAGGAGCATGCATCACCTCAAGCAAACACAGCTCAAGCAGATTCAGCTAAAGTTACGGCTACAGCTGTTGAATCACATCAGGAGCATGCATCACCTCAACCAGCTACATCAAACCCTGAGATCATCATCCAGAAGATCCAAGGACATGAGATGTTTTCCAAGTTCATGCAGCAGCGACAACGGAGCTGGATCTTTGGTGACATCAAGAATGAATTTATTTCCAAAGACATTTGGGACTTTGATGAGTTTCTTTCCAGCCATGGCATGGAGCGTTTTGGAGATAATGATTTTCTCAGGCATTTGAACGAGATCGAACACGAAACATCACAAGCCGTGTCTGGCGATGGTGACTTAGCTACCCAAGAGTGTCCCATGGTTGTGGACACTTCTGATGGCCACGATGAAGCGCTGCCATGCATTGATGAAATGGATGTGGACGATCAGGCTGGGGATATGAATCATGAATCACTAGTCACTAGTCTCTAAAGACTAAGCACCAATTAACAATGATATGATTCGATAGTTTGGTTGAGTTGTGTGATTGATTTTAAGTTTGTGATTTCAATGAGTGGCTCAATGTTCAGGAAGCGGGACATGAACGAGGACCTGGTGATTATCTTGAGATCGATCATGAGGATATCTTGTTATCGGTGGCGAAGGCACACACACTTGAAACCTAGCTCTCGGCTAGTTATAAGGTTATATAAGTAGTTACATATTATATATTTATATAGCGTAGTCTAGTGATGCTGATGATGATGTCAAATTGTGCTTTTTGTTAAGTTAAGCTGTTTAGTTTCGGATTGCGCCAGGCTCAAATCAAAGCTGCTTTACAAATTCCTGGACTGCGGAATCGAATGATGAATCTGCCGCGCATCTGGTCTTTTGGCCACAACATGTACGGGGTCTGGCGGGTTTGAACTTGCGGCTAGAGCTGTAGCCAAAGAACTCACAAGGGCCTTAACAA